CAGGCAACATCCTGGTAAATCTCTGCACCTTTTCCAATGCTTCCATATCTTTCCTGTAATGAGGCGACCAGAACTGGACACAATATTCCAGATGTGGCCGAACCAGGGTTTTGTATACCTGGAGAATAACATCATGGCTCTTGAACTCAATCCCTCTATTAATGAAAGCTAACACCCATATGCCTTCTTAACAACTCTATCCACCTGGGTGGCAGCTTTCAGGGAACTGTGGACATGAACCCCAAGATCCCTCTGCTCCTCCACACTGCCAAGAATCTTGCGGTTAACCCTGTATTCTGCTTTCAAGTTTGTCCTTCTAAAATGAATCACCTCACACTTTTCACACCTGAAACTCCATCTGCCACTACTCAGCCCTGCACTATATCCTATCAATGTCCCTTTGTAACCTAGAACAGCCCTCCGCACTATCCACAACTTGACCCACCTTCGTATCGTCCGCAAACTTACTAATCCACCCTTCCACTCCTTCATCCAAATCATTTACAAAAATCACAAATAGAAGAGGACCCAGAACAGATCCTTGTGGTACACCACTCGTAACTGAGCACCATGTTGAATATTTTCCGTCCACTACCACCCTTTGTCTTCTAAGGGTCAGCCAATTCTGAATCCAATCTGCCACATTTCACCCTATCCCATGCCTCCTTATCTTCTGCATGAGCCTACCATGGGGAATCTTATCAAACACCTTACTTAAATCCACGTATACCACACCCACTGCTCTACCTTCATCCACGTGTTTGGTCACCTCTTCAAAGAATTCAATAAGGTTTGTCAGGCATGATCTACCCCTCACAAATCCATGCTGACTATCACGAATCAAACTGTGCCTTTCCAAGTGATCATAAATCCTATCTCTCAGAGCCCTTTCCAATACTTTGCCCACCACTGATGTGAGACTAACTGGCCTGTAATTTCCGGGGTTATCCCTATTCCCTTTTTTGAACAAGGCAATGACGTTTGCCTCTCTCCAAACTTCCGGCACTATACCAGTGGACAGTGAGGATGAAAAGATCATCGCCAAAGGCCCTGCAATCTCTTCCCCGACTTCCCATAGAATCCTTGGATAAATCCGATCCGGCCCGGGAGACTGATCTATCTTCAAGTTCCTCATAATTCCTAGTACATCTTCCTTACTAACATCGACTTCCTCCATCCTACCAGCCTGTTTCACACTGTCCTCCTCTACAACTAGGTCCCTCTCAGTTGTGGTTACCGAGGAAAAGTATTCATTAAGCCTATCTCTTTAGGCTCCGGGCACAAATTCCCTTTACGATCCTTGATCGGCCCTATCCATTGCCTTTTCATTCTCTTACTCCTCATGTACGTGTAAAAAGCCTTGCAGTTTTCCCTGATCCCATCTGCCAAGGTTTTCTCATGCCCCCTTATAGCTCTCCTAAGCCCTTTCTTCAGCTCCTTCCTGGATAACTTGTATCCCTCTCGAGCCTTTTCCGTTCCTGGTTTCCTAAACCTTACATAAGCATCCTTCCTCCTCTTAACCAGTCGTTCGACCTCTCTTGAGAACCAAGGCTCCCTCACTCGACCGCATCTTCCCTGCCTGCTTGGGACAAACACATCGAACACATGCAGTATGCATTCCTTAAACAATTTCCACATTTCAATAGTGCTATTCCCTGACAGCATCTGTCCCCATTTTATGTTACCCAGTTCTTGCCTAACAGAAGTGTAATTACTCTTCCCCCAATTATAAACCTTACCCTGCTGTAGGTACCTATCCTTTTCCATGACTATTGTAAACGTAACAGAGTTATGATTGCTACCGCCAAAATGCTCTCCTACCAACAGGTCTAACACTTGGCCTGGTTCATTGCCAAGCACCAAATCCAAAATGGCCTCTCCTCGTGTTGGTCTATCTATATACTGTGTCAGAAATCCTTCCTGAACACACTGGACAAAATCTGCTGCATCTAAACTATTAGAACTAAAATGTTTCCAATCAATATTTGGAAAGTTGAAGTCACCCATGACTACAACCCTGTGACTTCTGCACCTTTCCAGTATCTGCCTCCCAATCCGCTCCTCTACTTCTCTGCAACTATTAGAGGGTCTGTAAAAAAGCCCCAACAAACTGACTGCTCCTTTCTTGTTCTGGACCTCAACCCAAACTGACTCTGTAGACATATCATTCTTGAACTGCCTTTCAGTAGCTGCTAAATTAGCTCTGACTAGCAATGCCACTCCCCCACCTCTTTTTCCATCCTCCCTATTTCTTTTAAAGCATCTAAATCCCAGAACTTCCAACAACCATTCCTGTCCCTGAGTTACCCAAGTTTCTGTAATGGCCACAACATCGTAGTTCCAAGTACTGACCCATGCTCTAAGTTCATCCGCCTTATTTCTGATACTTCTAGCCTTGAAGTATACACACCTCACACCATCTCTGCGCCCACAATTATGTTCCATCGACCGCATTTCTTTATTAACAACCTCACTCCCTGTTGTGTCTGTTGGAAGGCTGAATACCTCATCCTCTGAATTACAAATCCGGTTCCCCACCCCCTGCCAATCTCGTTTAAACCATCCCGTATAGCTCAAACAAACCTCCCTCCCAGGATATTTGTGCCCTTCCAGTTCAGGTGCAACCCGTCCTTACTGTACAGGTCCCACCTTCCCCAGAATGTGCTCCAATTATCCACATAATGGAAGCCCTCCCTCCTATACCAGCCCTGTAGCCACGTGTTTAGCTGCACTCTCTCCCTATTTCTTATCTCATTGTCACGTGGCACTGGTAGTAATCCAGAGATAACTACCCTGTTTGTCCTGGACTTCAGCTTCCAACCTAAATCCCTGTACTCATTTTTCACATTCTCTGTCCTTTTTCTACCTATGTCATTGGTACCGATGTGTACCATGACTGCTAGATGCTTATCCTCCCCCTTAAGGATCTTGAAGACACGATCCGAGACATCACGGACCCTGGCACCCGGGAGGCAACATACCATCCGTTCATTTCGTTCACGTCCACAGAACCATCTGTCTGTGCCTCTTACTATTGAATCTCCCACTACAATTCCTCTCCTATTCTCCCCCTTTCCCTTCTGTGCCACAGGGCCAGGCTCAGTGCCAGAGACCTGTCCGCTATGGCCTTCCCCGGTAGTTCAACATGCCGTTTTGCTGCTAGTTGATATTCATGTATTCTAATGGCTAGTTTCCTTCCTGTCTGTCCGATGTAATGTTTGTGGCAGTTGTTGCACGGTATTTTGTAAGCCACATTGGTTCTGCATGTTGTGGGAATGGGGTCTTTAATCCTTGTGAGTGTATGTCGTAGAATGGCTGTGGACTTGTGGGCTACCATGATTCCTCGTGGTCTTAGGAGTTTTGTTGTCAGTTCCAATACGTTCTTGAATTAGGGCAGTGTGGCCAGTGTGTTAGGGCGGACTGTGTCCTCCTGTTGTTGCCTGTTTAGTAGGCATTTGCAGATGAAGTTGTGGGGTTATCCGTTCATAGCGAGGATTTTGTATAGGTGCTCTTCCTCTTTCCTGCGCAGTTCTGGAGTGTTGCAGTGTATCCTGGCCCATTTAAATAGTGTCCTAATGCAGCTTTGTTTGTGAACGTTGGGGTGGTTGCTGTGGAAGTTGAGGATTTGATCAGTGTGGGTTGCTTTCAAACACATAGAATTGGACCCCATATACAAACCCATACAGATCAAAACCAGAAATAACACTGCTCAACACAGCGGACCAGAAAGTATAAATTCCAAGCGGAGTAGAATTACATTGCTTCATCGGAGGCTCCACTGATGATATCATCTAGCATAGTGATGAAACGTCTGAACAAAAACAAGCCAGTTTAGTGAGCAAATCAACAACCTCATTGTCTTAAACCCCAAAGGGAATCCAGCATAATGGCTGGAGTAGTTCTCTATTACTGTCATGCCTCACAGGGTGGGAAATCAAGCTCCACTATTTCCAGATTCATCACAGAAGTTAGATTTTAAAAGAGTTTGCAGAGTACCTCAATTTACCTGTCTTTTTGACGCAGGTTGACAGAAAGAATGAACCAGGTTTCAGTGCCTCACAAAAAATGACTATTTATTGTCACAATTCACTGGAAATTTCAGTTGCTGGAAATCAGCTATTCCCGGAGTCATCACAGAAGTTAAAGATTGTAAAATAAATCCACAAAACCCCTCAGTTTACCTGATTTACAAACCTATGTTCACCAGGTGGACCAGGTTTTATACTTAGTAACAATTACTGTTTATTATAAGTAATTAAACTCGAGCTACAGGTAAACAATTATAACTAGTCAGCAGATAACACTATTTATTAAAATTCTATTCCTGTTATAATCTACACCCTCTCTCCCTCTCACACACACATACAAATAGATAAACTGAAAAAGCAGGTCAGCAGCCTTTGTTCAAGATTTGTGGAGTTGGTTCTTGCTGATCAGAAGGTTTCTTCTTGGCCTTCCTTCTCTGGATGCTTCCACTGATTTGCAGGAGGTACAGGGTAGCTGGATCACTTATTAAAGGTCTTTAACTTATCAATTAAAAGTCACAGCTAACAGCAACGGTTTTTTTTTCAGTTTTAACGTTTTTAATTCAGCTAACAAGGATATCTTTTGAGCTGATAGAGGTTGGAAAAGCTTCTCTGTATCTTGTTTACAGCCCCAAGCTGTTCAGCTACCTGAGAACCAATCATGTAGTTGGCAGGCAGAAGGCTTATGGTATGGGAACAACCAAACTTCTATCTGTACACAATCCCTTGGCTCCAGTTCATCTGCAACCACACGTCAACCACTGTTCTAACAAGCTGCTTGCAATAAGCGTCAGGTTACTTGCGTTTAAAACAGATAGCAATCCTCCAGCAATTCTTTTATTATAGAAACAGTTTCTTTCTCATTTCAGTCCACAAGGGCAGCTTTTCCCCAAGGCAATATCTGTCTACCTCTGTCAACACAAATTTACCTTGTGCGGCAAATATTAAAAATTAACATAGTACTATAATTTTTACCTTGGCCCCGGGAGGAGAATTGGTGGGCCCCAGACAAAGTATCGAGAAGAAAGTGGCTAATGTTACTCAGGGTGTCCATCAGCTGACTGATGAATAGCTTCCACCTTGTTCTGAGAGGTTGCAGCCGCAGTGAACTCAGGATCTCCGGTACCTCTGTCAAACATTTCCTCAGCGCCAATATCAAACCTACCAGACACAGCAAATAACTTCAACCAAAGTACAATTCAAACTGAAGCCAGTTTGTCTTCATGCTTCACAGACTGCAACTGAGCTCCTTGGTTAGTTAGAATTGGCAATAATATTTTTTATGTTGTGTACGTTTTCGGTCATTTGTAACTGAGTAGAATTTGTAACACAGCCTCCCAACAATAACTTGCATTTATATAGCATGTTTTATTTGTCGTAAAAAGTTCCACAAGTGAATTGTTAAATAGTACTTAACATCGAGTGACATATGGAGACGTTAAGGTAAATGAAAGAAGTGGGATCTAAGCAGCATCTTAAAGACGCAAAGCAGAGAGGCAGAGCAGTTTAGGGAAGGAATTTCAGAACTTGGGCCTAAGCAACCGAAACCACAGGTGCCAATTTTGAAGGAATTAGGGATGCACGAAGGGCCACAATTAAAAGAACATCAATATCTCAGCCGGTTGTGCAACTGGATATAGTTGTGGAGATACGCAGGGATAAAGCCATAGACAAACTGAATGAAAAGTTTAAAAGTGAAGTGTTGCTTTCCCAGGGACAAATGTAGTTTGTGGGTGACAAGGAGAAACAGAACTTGATGCAAGTTAAATCAAGCAGAGTTTGGATGATTTATTAAGGGTAGAAGATGGGAGGCCAGCCAGGATTCCACCTTGAACTTTGAGCTGATTGCATAAGGCACTGATCTAGCCTTGCAAAATAGTCAATGACAGCATCACATGATTGGACCGGCAAAGTGACAGTCCACAATACTTAAGAAAAGACTGATGTGTTCTTGATAATCTCCCAAACCACAATGAGTACAACTCCAATGACTTCCCTATTTTCATACTTCCATTCCATTTGAAAAAATTTGCCTTTCCTATTACCTGCTGAACCTGTATGCTAGCTTTTTGGGATTCGTGCACAAGGACCACCAAATCCCTGTATGTTGCAGCTAACTGCAGTCTTTCTCCATTTAAAATAATATTCAGTTCCTCTATTCCTCTTGCTAAAGTAGATAATCTCCAAATTCCCATACTATATTGCATTTTTCAATTAATTTGTCTACATTCCACTGCAGAGTTCTTGAGTCATCCACAGCAGCTCACTCTTGGAAGATTATTACCTTGCATCTGCAGCTACTTCCTTTAAAATCCTATGAAGTATCCCTCAGCTCCAAGGGGTTTTATGAAACTTTAGCCTCATTAGTTTCTCTAGCACTTTTTCCTCTAGTGATAGTTTTGTAGTTATTTCCTCTCCTCTTGCTCGTTGTTATTTAGCAATTTTGGAATACTATTTGTATCTTCTAATGTGAAGATTGACGCAAAGTATATATTCAACTCCTCTGATACTTCCTGGATCCTATTATCTTACCCCAAGCCTCATTCTCCAAGGGGCTTATGTTCACTTTGATCTCTCTCTCTCTTCCATTTTATATATTTAAAGAAGCTCTTGCTATCTGTCATTACTACCTGTATGTTCACCCTTAAAGTTTATTTTCTGCCTGTCTTTACTTGTTCTATCTTGATGATTTTTAAAACTTTCACATTCTTCTAGTTTACCACTTGTCTTTGCCAAATTGTATGGGTTATCTTTCAAATTGATGCTATCCTTAACTTCTCTCGTTAGCCATGGTTTCCTTATCTCCTCCTAGAATCCTTCTTTCTCATTGCGACGAATCTTTGTTGAAAGACAGGAATAATTTTCTTAGGCATCTGACATTATTTCACAACCATTTTTGCTGCTAAGATCCTCCCCGGTCCACTCCAGCTAGCTCTGCCCTCATTTCTTTGTAATTAAATACACTTACTTAAGTTTGGTACAGTTGTGTCCAACGCAAGTTCCTCCCTCTCAATAACAAATTTCACACATTAGTTCAGCGGAATTCACTACACAGCTTCGGAGTTGCTACTTTTTTTTTGCGGCCCACTCATTGCCTGTCCAATTCGTCACTTTCCTCCTGTCACTCTTGCTCACCACAGGGTTGAGACTGGGTGAAGTGGGGATTTGGGGTGGGTAGGAAAGGGTCTCAGGGCAGACAGGTAGTTATGAGCTGGGATACTGTTTGGGAGAACCAATGTGGACCTTCTAGCTGACCAGCCTCTACATCTACACGCTCAAGCATTCCACCACAGCTTCCCAAATTTACTGGGAACCTGATTCTAGTGTGAAAAGACATAAATTCCTCAAAATCCCACATAAGTCAGATATGCATTGCACAAGATGCAAAAGTGCACAGATCTGTGAGTCTGCAAACGGCCATTCCACCAGGTGCCTTTATTTCTAAAATGCAGGATTCTCTACATCTTTTTAACTGCTTTCTCCACCGTGCCACACATTCAGTAATTTGTTCTCATATCTCTGGATGCACTTTAAAAATTCCACCTTGTCTGATCCTTTCACAATAAAGCCATTCCAGTTAATGTTAACTAAGTTTCTAATCCCCTACAACTATAACCCTGTTTCTCTCACATATTTGTATGATTTGTCTACATATCTGCTCCTCTACCTCCCTTTGATTGCTGGGAGGCCTGTAATGATACCAACAAGGTAATTGCCCTTTTCTTTTTATTTCTAAGCTCCACCCAGCTGGCCTCAATTGTATTTTTAATTCATTCATGGGATGAGGGCACTGCTGGCTAGGCCAGCATTTATTGCTCACCCCAGTGAGCAGTTAACAGCCAACCACATTGCTGTGGGTGTGGAGTCACATGTAGGCGAGACCAGGGAAGGATGGCAGTTTCCTTCCCTAAAGGACCTTAGCGAACCAGATTGTTTTTTCCAACTATCAACATGGTCATCATTAGACTCGCGATTCCAGATTTGCAATGAATTCAAATTCCACCATCTGCTGTGGTGGTATTCGAACCTGGGTCCCCAGAACATTACCTGGATATCTAGATTAACAAGTCACTAGGCCATCACCTCGCCCTGAAGATTCTATTTGAAGACCCTTCTAGCACGTCCTTCCTCATTACTGCAGTAATTGTTTCCTTTACCAATTATGATCTGACAAAGCGCATCCTCGGATTTTGTGGAAAGCTAGGGAGGAAATTGCGGAGCCCCTAGTGGAGATATCTGTAACATTGACAGCCACGGGTGAAGTGCCCGAAGACTGGAGGGAGACTAATGCTGCGCCATTATTTAAGAAAGGCTGCAGGGAAATGCCTGGGAACCAAGACCAGTGAGCCTAATGTCTGAAGTGGGTAAGTTGTTAGAGTGGATTCTGAGAAACAGGATCTACTGGCATTTGGAGAGGCAAGGACTCATTTGGGATGGTCAGCATGGCTTTGTGCATGGGAAATCATGGAACGACCAAGAACATAGATGAGGGCAGCGTGGTACACATTGTCTGCATGGACTTTAGTAAGGACTTTGACAAGGTACCACATGGTCGGTTGTTCAGTAAGGTTAAATTGCACTGGATCTAGGGAGGGCTAGCCAATTCCATTCAAAATTGGCTTGATGGTAAAAGACAGAAGGTGGTGATATAGGGTTGTTTGTCACACTGGAGGCTTGTGACCAGTGATGTGCCACAAGAATCGGTCCTGGGTCTGCTGTTATTAATCATTTATATAAATGATTTGGATGAGAATTTAGGAGGTAAACTTAGTAATTTTGTAGATGATGCCAAGATTGGTGGTGTAGTGGACAGTGAAGAAAGTTATCTGGGAATCTTGATCAACTGGGCCAGTGGGTTGAGGAATGGCAGATTAAGTTAAATTTAGATAAATGCAAGGTGTTGCATTTTGGTATGTCAAACCAGGGCAGGACTTACACAGTCAATGGCAGGGCCCTGGGGAGTGTTATAGAACAAAGAAATCTAGGGATACAAGTTTTTAGCTCCTTGAAAGTGGAGTCACAGGCTGACAGGGTGGTGAAGGTGGCTTTTGGAATGCTTGCTTTCATCAGTCAGAGCACTGACTATAGGAGTTGGGATGTCTTGTTGCAGCTGTACAAGACATTGGTGAAGCTACATTTGGAGTACAGCATGCAGTTCTGGTCACCCTAATACAGAAAGGATATTATTAAACTTCAAAGAGTGCAGAAAAGATTTACTGGGATGCTATTTGGATTGGAAGGTTTGTGTTATAAGGACAGGCTGGATAGACTGGGACTTTTTTCCCTGGATCATAGGGGACTGAGAGGTGACCTTCTACAAGTCTATAAAATCATGACAGGTAGGTATAGATAACAGCTTTTCCCTAGTGTAGGGTTCAGAGGGGCAGCTTTTTTCACACAGAGGGTGGTGAGTGTCTAGAACGGGCTACCAGAGGTAGTGGTGCAAGCAAGTACAATTTCATCATTTAAGAAACATTTAGACAGGTACATGGATGAGATTAATATGGAGGGATGTGGACCAAACACAGGCAAATGGGACTGGTTTAACAGTGAAAACTGTGTGGCATGGGCAAGTTATGCCAAGGGGCCTGCTTCCATGCTGTAGACCTCTATGACTCTAAGCAACTATGCTCCTACCAATGTAGGGAGAATGAGAAAATGTGGGGAATTAATTTGTCCTGGTAATCATGTAAAGCCAGAGCTCCTCTGCTTGCCAGCTCCTTTTCCTTTTCCGTTTTCTTTTCCCCTCTTTGCTGCAGTTGTTCTTCCCCAACACCACCCCGCCTCCCCACCCCTAACCTTTAACTTCTTAAACTACGCTACCTGAAGGGAATGGAGAATGGAGTTTGAGACCAGCCCAGCATGGGAGACGAGTCGGAGAGCAGGCCAGCGTGGGAAGCGAGTGGCGGCTGGAGCCCAGAGCGGGAGCAGACCGAGCCTGAACCAACCTAGGAGGTGAGTCCTGGAAGCGAGTCATAGCTGGAGCCTGGAGCAGGAGCAGGAGCAGATCAAGCCCAGGCCGACCTGGAAGGCGTGTCCCAGAAGCAAGTCGAGGCCAGGGTCCAGAGCGGGAGCAGAGCAGGCTGTGGGTTGAGACCCCGAAGTGAGTTGTGGCCGGTGCCCACAGCGGGAGCAGAGCGAGCCCAGGCCGGCCAGGGGAACAAGTCCTGGAAGCGAGTCTGGGACAGAGGCCAGCGCGTACAGGCAGCAAGGCCTTATGTTCTGAAGCCCAGTGGGCACAGACTCAGTGAAAAAGGACAACAAAGTACTTTAAACACTTTTTATTATCATTGTAGACTTTTTAAACTCTGTACTCCTGTGTTACTCTATTTTTTCTACTATTTCAATTCTGTAAGGACACTTAAAGGATCTGTACCGAGGCAACCTATACCTAAGATGGTGCCACAAAGCCACATTACAAAATTTTCACTGCATTCATTCAAGTGTACGTGACAATGAAGGCTATTCTATGTTTCTCCACCGGTGAAGCATAACTCCAGGTGAAGGCTTTGCAGATCATTCCCCACACCCAGTAATGTTCAGGCTTTGGCCAACGGTGTAAATGGTAAGATGGTGGCTCAGAGCCCACTGCTCTGGGGTCTTTCTCCACCATGGGGCATGCGGGACTCATATTCAGAGCCTGAAGATGTACTCTGGGAGCACTTTGCCCGTGGCTTCCTTTCCTAACCTGCCTCACAATCCTCCTTGGTGTGGCAGTCTCTTGTCGTGGCATGGCGGTCTTGAGGCCGAGTATGGCCTCAGCATGGACTTACAGCCTCGACAGGCTCAAGGTGAAGCCTGGCACAGTCTGGAGTCAAGGCATGACGCAGACTTGGAGGCTAGGTGCCAACGTGGACTGGGTTGGAAGGACTGTAGTTCCTAACTTTTTATTTTTCTATTTTCTAATTTATTCCTATGATCTGTAATGCTGCTGGACCTTTCATTTCTTTAATTTTCTATCTTTCTCCCTAAGAAGAATCTGTACCGAGATATCTTGTACCTAAGATGGCATGGTAAGTGGTGACTTGTAAACATTTCATTGTATTCATTTCAGTAGATGGAACAATAAAGCGAATTCAATTCATTTCAAATGGTCAGTACAAGGCAGCTCCTTACCATGTAGGGGCTTGGCTTTTGCAGCTTGCAGCAAATCTGTACAAGCCACTTTGTAATGCTCTACCAACTGCTGATGTAGATAAGTTACGAAGATCAATGGTTGGAAGCAGGCATCTTCAGGGGCTTCCCCATGAGCAACCACACCCAGCAAAACTGACATGTCAGACCTGGAAGAAAGGATACAGACAAAATAAAAAATTGAAGATGCCTTCTGACCAACTGATGCATTATCTGCAAAAATCCATTATATCTATTTTGGCTCTGTTGTTGAAGAATGCAACCCTGAACCCAATCAAGAAATTCACAGCTTTTGAGGTCCTGCCCTTGAGTTCAATTCCTAGCTCCTGGTACTGTGCAAACAGGATTTCACGTCTATTCCAACAAGATCACAATCACTAGCTGTCCCTTTCTGCTATCGTTCCAAAGCCGGTTGGAGATATCCCTCATCCTAGCACCAAGAAAGCAAGCCTTGCAGGGATCCAGATCCCACTTCGAAAGGATGCTCTCTTGTTCCCTAATTTTTGAATCCCTTACAGCTACCAAATTACACTTCTTGCTCTCCTGCTCCAAATACCATGGTCAGCATTCTGCTTGTCCTTCTACAGTTTTCATGCTTACCCTCTCTGATTCTAAGCATCAAATACAATCAATTTCTGCAGTTCAGCCCACTCTAATCCTGCTCTGAAGTGAGTTTCAAATGCAGAATAGCTCTCCCTCTCACACAACTGATATAAACCATCACACCCAATAATAAAAAGGAAGCATATTACATAAATGGGAAACAATTTCAGAGATCTAAGATGCATGGAGATCTGCGTGTCCTAACATGTGTACTAACATTTTGCTATTCACAAGCACAGCAAATAATCAGGAAAGCTACTTGCGAGGGGAAATGAATACAAAAGTAAGGACATTGTACTTCACTTACAAACCAGTTAGTTTAACTTCAGTAGTAGGGAAAATGTCTGGAAAAAATCATTTGAGATAGAATCAGAAATCGCATGAAAAGAAGTGGGTTGATTAGGAGGAGTTTGCACAGATTTCTGAAGGGGAAATTGTGTTTAACTGACTTGTTGAAGTTTTTTGAAGAGGAAATGGAAAGGGTTGATGAGGGTAAAACTGATGACATGGTATACATGGATTTCCAGAAGACATTTATACAGTGCCTTATAAGAGATTTATGAGGAAAGTTGTAGGTCATGGTATAAAGGGAATTGTAGCAATGTGGATACAGAACTGGCTGACTGATTGAAAAATATCTCCAGTTGCTGTCTATTTTCTATCTGGAGGAAGGTTTGTAGTGGAGTAACCCAGGGGTTACTATATGCGACCTTGGCTTTTCCTGATAATCAGAATCATATCAGTGCAGAAGAGGCCCTCTTGGCCCATCAAGTCAGCACTGACATGTGAGAAACATCTGAATTTCAACCTAATCCAATTTACTAACACTCGGCCCATACCTTTGAATGTTATGACATGCCAAGTGCTCATCCAGGTACTTTTTAAAGGCTGTAAGGCAATTCACCTCTACCACCCTCCTAGGCAGCACATTCCAGACGATCACCATCTTCTGAGTTAAAGATGTTTTCCCTCATATCCCCCGAACCTCCTGCCCCTCACTTTGAACCTGTGTCCCCTTCTGACTGACTCTTCAACTAAGGGGAGCTGCTTCTCATCCACTCTGTCCATTTCCTCTTCATCTTGTAGACCTCAATCAGATTGACCCTTTGTCTCCTCTGCTCCAACGAAAACAACCCAGGACTATCCAACCTTTCCTCCTAACTTAAATTTTCCATCCAAAGCAGCATCCTAGTGAATTTCCTCTGCACCCCCTCCAGTACATTCACATCCTTCCTGTGATGTGGTGACCAGAATTGCACACAATACTCTAGCTGTGATCTCACCAAAGCTCCATTCAACTCCAACATGAGTTCCCTGCTTTCATAATCTATGCCTCAACTGACAAAGGCAAGTGTCTCTTATGCGTTTTTCACTATCCTACCAACATGGCCCTCTGCCTTCAGGCATCTCTGGACAAACATTCCAAGATCCCTTTGTTCCAAAGAACTTCTTAGTGTCATGCCATTCATTAAATACTTCCTTGTCAACTTACCCCTTCCAAAGTGTGTCACCTCATACTTTTCAGTCTCTACAACTAAGCCCATTTTGAATCCACCCCATCAAATTATCCTGTATCCCATGTGCGTTTGTCTTCTTGATAAGTCACCTTGTCAAAGTCTTTACTGAAATCCATTTAAACTACATCAACTAGACTACCTTCATCTATACATATTCATCTAGATCTTGGTGTGCAGGGGACAATTTCAAAGTTTTCAGATGGCACTCAATTTGAAAGATTTGTAAACTGTGAGGAGTACAGTGTGGAACTCCAAAATGTCAGCGACAAGTTGGTGGAGTGGGCGGATAGGTGGCACATGAGATTTAGCGCAGAGAAGTGTGAGGTGATGCAGTTTAGTCAGAAAGACAATATAAAATAGAGGGTACAATTCTAAAGGTAGTGCAGAAGCAGGGGATGCTGATTGTAAATATAATGCACAGATCATTGAAAGTGGCAGAACAGGTGAACAGACCAGTAACTAGAGTACTACAGTGTGCTCAGCTTTGTTAATCGGACATAGACTACACCAGCAAACAGATGATGTTGAACTTGTAAAAGGCACTTGTTAGACTTCACCTGGAGTACTGTGTACAATTGTGGGCACCTGATCAAAGGAAAGATGTGAATAAACTGGGGAGAGTGCAGAATCAGTTCAGAAGAAAGTTCCAGGAATGAAAAGTTTCAAGTTATGAAGATAGATTGAAGAAGTTGGGAGTGTTTTCCCCAGAGAAAATGGCTGAGAGGAGAGCTGATAGACATTTTCAAAATCAAGAGCAGGCTATACAGAATGGATAGGGTGAAGCTTTTTTGTTTATAGAATCCCTACAGTATGGAAACAGGCCCTTCGGCCCAACAAGTCCAAGGTGTTTCTGCTTGTTGAATAAAACAAGAATGAGAGGGCATTGAATTAAAGTGATGTGTAAATAAAGCAATGGTGATGTAAGAAAAATAATTTGTTCACACAGGGAGTTGTTAGGGCCTGGAATGAACTCCTGGAAATGTGCTGGAGGTAGCTTTGATCGAGATATTCAAGACATTCACTGGATGTTGCTTTGGATAGTAATAGTGTGCGGGGTTACAGGGAAAAGACAAGGGTTTGGCACTAGATAACAGATTGGACTAGATAATTAGGCCAGGGAAGGTATGATGGGCCAAATGGTCGCCATTTGAAACAATACTGTAATTATGTTATACAGGCCATTGGGGAGACCACATCTAAAGTACTTTGTACAATATTGGTCACCTTATTTAAGGGAGGATGTGAATGCTTTGGAGGCTGTTCAAAGAAGGTTTACTACATTAGCACTTGGAGCGGGTTGTATCATGAGGAAAAGTTGGATAGCTAGACTTGTATCCACACGAATTCAGAACAGGACATTGAAATATATAAAATTCTGAATGGTCTTACGAAGGTAAATGTGGAGAAGATATTTCCTTTTGTGGGAGAATCCATAAGTGGTGTTACAGTTTTAAAAGAAGGATTCGTTTATTTAAAACAGAGATGAAACAAAATGTTTTCTCTCTGAGGGTCATGAGTCCTTTGAACTCTCTCCATGAAAAGGAGCAGAAACAGACTCTTTGGCTTGCTCAGATATTTCTATCATTGAAAGTCACAGGTAAAGTGGCACAGGTTAGCTAATGTGGCACCACTATTTAAGAAAAGTGGTAAGAAAAAGCCATGGAACTATAGACTGGTGAGCCTGACATCGGTGGTGGGAAAGTTATTAGAGGGAATCCTGAGGAACAAAATTCACATGTATTTGGAAAGTCAAAGACTGATTAGGGATAGTCAACATGACTTTGTACGTGGGAAATTGTGTCTCACTAATTTGATTTTTTGGCGAAGTAACGTAAAAGATTGATGAGGGCAGAGCAGTGGACGTGATTTATATGGACTTCAGTAAGGCGTTCAACAAAGATCCCCATGGTAGGCTGGTTAGCAAAATCAGATTACATGGAATACAGGGAGAACTAGTCATTTTGGGACAGAACTGGCTCGAAGGTAGAAGTCAGAAGGTGGTGGTGGAGGGTTGCTTTTCAGACTGGAGACCTGTGACCAGGGGTGTGGCACAAGGATCCGTACTGGGTCCGCTGCTTTTCATCATTTATATAAATAATTTGGATGTGAACAATGGAGATATGGTTAGTAAGTTTGCAGATGACACCAAAATTGGAGGTGTAGTGGACAGCGAAGAAGGTTACCTCAGAGTAAAACAGGATCTTGATCAGATGAGCCAATGGGCCCAGGAGTGGCAGGTGGAGTTTAATTTAGATAAATGTGAGGTGCTGTATTTTGGAAAGACAAATCAGGGTAGGACTTACACAATTAATAGTAAGGTCCTGAGGAGTGTTGCTGAATAAAGAGACCTTGAAGTGCAGGTTCATAGTTCCTTGAAAGTAGAGTTGCAGGCAGGTGGGATAGTGAAAAACGCATTTGGTATGCTTGCTTTTATTGGTCAGGGCATTGAGTATAGGAGTTGGGAGGTCATGTTGCTGCTGTACAGGACATTGGTTAGGCCACTCTTGCAGTACTGCATTCAGTTCTGGTCTCCCTGCTATAGGAAGAATATTGCGAAACTTGAAAGGGTTCAGAAAAGATTTACAAGGATATTGCCAGGGTTGGAGGGTTTGTGCTATAGGGAGAGGCTAAATAGGCTTGGGATATTTTCCCTGGAGTGTTGGAGGCAGAGGGGTGACCTTTCAGAGGTTTATAAAATCATGAGGGGCATGGATAGGGTAAACAGACAAGGTCCTTTCCCTGGGGTGGGGGAGTCCAAAACTAGAGGGCATAGGTTTAAGGTGAGAGGGGAAAGATTTAAAAAGGGACCTAACAGGCAACTTTCTCACGCAGATGGTGGTGCGTGTACGGAATAAGCTCCCAGAGGAATTGGTGGAAGCTGGTACAATTACAACATTTAAAAGGCATCTGGATGAGTATATGAATAGTAAAGGTTTACAGGGCTATGTACCAAATGTTGGCAAATGGGACTCGATTAATTCGGGATATCTGGTCGGCACGGATGATTGGGATGAAGGGTCTGTTTCCACGCATTACAATTCTATGAATCTATGAATACTTTTAAGGCATTACTAGATGAATTCTTATTAAGCAAAACGGTGAAAGGAGTATGCAGGAATGTGCATTTGTGGATACAATCAGATCAACCATGATCTTGTCTTTTATATATTCTCCCATGGGACTTGGGCATCGCTGACTGAGCCAGCATTTATTAGTTGTCCCTAGGTGCCATTAAGAAGGTGGTGGTGAGCTGCTTTCTTGAACTGCTGTAGTCCGTGTGTTGTAGGTAAATTCACAATGTCCTTAAGAAGGAATTCCAGGACTTTCACCAAGCGACAGTGAAGGAACAGTGATAACTGGCCAGGTTTGGGTAGATGCCAACATTGTAGCTTGGCTAGGGATGCAGCAAGTTCTGGAGCACAAGTCTACAGTACTATCGCCAGAATTTTGTCAGGGCCCATAGCATTTACAATATCCAATGCCTCTGGCCGTTTCCTGATATTAAATAAATAGAATGGCTGAACACTGGCATGCTGAGCACCACTGGAGGAGATGGAGATGGATCATCCACTCAATACTTCCGGCTGAAGATTGCTGCGAATGCTTCAGACTTATCTTTTATATTGATGCCTTGGGCTCTTCCACTATTGAGGATGAGGATGTTTTTGGAGCCTCTTCCTCCAGTGAGCTGTTTACTTGTCCACCACCATTGACAACTGGATGGCAGAACTGCAGAGCTTAGATTTGATCAATTGGTTGTGGGATCACTTCGCTCATTTGTCTATTATTTGCTGTTTATGCTGTTTGGCACACAATAGTTTTGTTTGGTAGTTTCACCAGATTGACACCTCATTTTGATTATGCCTGGTGCTGCGCCTGGTGTGCCTTCTTTCACTCTCCATTGAACTCGGGCTGATCCTTGGGCTTGATGGTAATTGTTGAGTAGGGGATATGCTGGATCATGAGTTTGCAGATTGTGAAACATAGAACATTACAGCGCAGTACAGGCCCTTCGGCCCTCGATGTTGCGCCGACCTGTGAAACCAATCTGAAGCCTATCTAACCTACACTATTCCATTATCAACCATATGTTTATCCAATGACCATTTAAATGCCCTTAAAGTTGGCGAGTCTACTATTTTTGCAGGCAGGGCATTCCACGCCCTTACTACTCTCTGAATAAAGAACCTACCTCTGACATCTGTCCCATATCTATCACCCCTCAATTTAAAGCTATGTCCCCTCATGCTAGCCATCGCCATCCAAGGAAAAAGGCTCTCGCTGTCCACCCTATCTAATCCCCTGATCATCTTGTATGTCTCTATTAAGTCACCTCTTAACCTTCTTCT